TGCTTACCTTTCACATCTCGACACCCCTTCGCCCCCCCGTCCCCCAAGCCCCCCCAAAAAGTGCAGTGTGACTACGCGCACCTCAGTCCTGTGGTTGCAGACTTTGTATCATGACATCATGACAAGCTTAACCAGTGCGTGCGGATTGCTGCACAAACCACAACCAGACTCTCCAGGTTTCAGTAACACAATGCAAGCATTGTGTCTTACTTGTACTCATAAGGGAGCATCCACTCAGGGCCAGCCTGCTGCTGCTGCAATTATTATTTCTGCCACAGAAAGAAATCCATGTCTTGATGAGAGACTGCAAAGCTCTGTTATGAGGGCGCTTTTTAAGACTCAATTTCAGTCAGTGGAGAATTCGGGTGGGGAGATAGCAGGGTTGGTTGCCTGGGAGAGCTTTGCACTTTTCAGGACTACAACCCCCAGAATGCAATGCAGAGTGAGGCCCCGGAAGCCACAAGTGTCACGCATCCAAATAAAGGTGAAGATGGAGCAATGACGGGAATCCAGCAGGTCAGACCAACTCTATTTCATGTCTTTCTGTTTATTATTTTTCATGACCAAGACAAATCATTGTGTGATTATATATGATGTATAGTAGTGATTTCTTGTTGTTCGATGATGGTGCCTCCTTCCTGGCATCTTCCTGTGTCGTGAGGGGAATGGTTGTCTTAAATGCAACGTTTAAGACAACCATGATGTTGGCTGCTCAATACAACGTTTGGGGCCCTGAGATGATTTGTTTTGCTTTAACTGTTTTTCAGAGAAAGGTGGGTTACCTATCCACATTCTTAGTCAATCTTGAATTGATTCCCCTTTAGGATGGTGAAAGCTACCATCCATAGCAAGCCCCACCATGTCTACTCTTCTTACCCTCTGTCCCAGGTCATCGCACCGGTCAGCTCGTTGCAAGGCCACTTGTTGAGACTGTTGCCTTCTATCTCTGTTGTCCCACTCTTTAGAGATCACAGGCGGTATTTTTATGTCAACGACCTGACGAATGCATCACAGTGGGAGTTCCCGACAGAAGAGGCCAAGGGGGATGACCTGAAAGGAAACCGGGCTAGCCCAACCTCCAGTCAAGGAGATGGCAAAACATCTGCGCCCAACGGTGGACCTTCAGGTCAGAACAAAGATGTGCCTGTTTTTTTTTTTTGAGGGTTCAAGTGAAATGTTCGAAAGTTTCCTCTTTGAATGTTGTCGCTCATTTTTTTTTCCGCCCCCCAGAACCGTGTATTTGTGCCTCTGCTGCACCACCACCAGTGCCTCAGTCCAGCACATCATCATTGTGGTCCCCATCTCAACCACCACTTCCTGACAGCCCACCTCCTCCACCTGACCTCCCCCCACTTCCACCTCTCCCCCCGGGCTCACCTCCCGTACCTCCCCCGCCCCCAGACAGTGATAGTGAGATCATGGAGGTGGAGATGGAGATGGATGATAATGACATAGAGCCACCGGCCCCTGGAACTGAAGATGATGGCAGCGGGTGGCCCACTTCAGGCATTGCTGGTGTTAAGGTGTGCTCGTGTTTACTTTGAATATGTATTTTGGTGGTAATTGTCCTGTTTAGTTTTCGATTTATCCAGATGTATACTTTGTTTCCTTGTTTTGGTGCAGGTTTTAGACTCTTCAGCCCCACTGGGTAAGGGTCAGAAACGGAAAGCTGGTCAGCTGAATAAAGCCATTATTGGAAGTAGTCCCATCCTGTACACACAGCATGTTGCTACAGCAGGTAAAATTCAGCATCTGATAGTCACATCACAAATACCATCAACAACATCACATTTGTTTGCCCCTGTGTAGCGCCTATCATGACCGCACCAGTCTACTGGGGTGTGCCAGCCGTGACTGCACCTCTCGTCCCATGTGAACCTCCTCTTCCACCTGTTCCTGCTTTACCCCCCCAACCACCGCTGCCACCTCCCCAGCCAGCCTGTGAATCCTCAGCACTTAAAGTGCCACCTGTGGAAAAGAGCAAGAAAACCAAGAAAGATAAGGTTTGTAATAAATTCAGATTATGTTTCAGGGTTTTTCCTCACTTATTTAGGCAACACATGGCAAAAGTTTTATGCATAACTTTAGAACCTCGATCATTTTTTTTCTGTCTCCCAAGAATGAGCAACAGGTAACTCTGAGCTTTTTTTTTTTTTGCACTCGTGTGGTCTATGACCGAAGCTAGGCAGCTGTCAAGTGATTTATTAGCACATTAGCACATGAGTCATTAGGTACTTTCTTGCTCTTACACCCGCAACCATCGCCCCAATAACACTTGTACCCCTTTCCCACTGCCGCAAAACCACAGGTAAACACGCTTTTTTTGGGCAGTGGGAAAGGCTCACTGGCCAGTGTCGATCCGTGTCGATCTGTGTCCACCAGCACGTCATTGGTGGCGGGTTGTGATTGCCTCCGCTTGCAGTTTGAAAGCCTAACACGGGACTTCCCGGTAATTACGTGATGACATCGGGCGGTACGTGATGCGTCATAACATCGCGCGCCATCGGCCTCGTATATAGCACGCCCCCACAACAAAACTAGGAGATCGCCTCTTAAGCTGTTGTCTCAGAGTAGCAAAGAGTTGATCCTCCTCTGCTTTTTGACCATTTTGAGGACGGTAAAAAGCTTGATAAAAGAAAGAACACTCGCTTCCATGTTGCTTTGTTTACCACCAAGAAATCTGTCACACTATCATCTATGCAATCACAGCGTGGTGACGTAACCAGACGCAAAGTGGTGGAAGGGAGGGGGGGCAGAATCGTCTTCTGTTGGTCAATGGGAAAGGGACAATATGACAATTGGTTGCGTGTTACTACGGATCACTACTACCCACTAATTTCAGTGGGAAAGGGGTATTGGAGTAGTCCTAAGCATCAGCTGCAGATGGTGCCATTCACCCATAACTTCACAACCTCTGCTAAATACTTGACATTTATGCAATAATATGTTTACAAACTCAGCATTTCGGTGTTGAGTGCAACCATGCGGGCTGGCTAATATACTACAATGCACTTCTCACATGACGTCACCTGTTGTCTTTGTATCATTGTAGAAGGGAAAGACCAAAATGCCATCCCTTGTGAAGAAGTGGCAAAGTATCCAGAAAGAGCTGGAGGAAGAGGAGAAGAGCAGCTCCAGTGATGAGGACAGAGAACAGCTCAACAAGAAGAATATAGAAGACTGGAAACAGCAGCAGCTCATGACGTACGTTAGAATGCATTTTGCACTTCTCTCCTTTTTATTATTGTTTTTCCCACCCCATTTAATAAATGTTATTTGTACCATTTTCCTCTTTTGTAATCCTCCAGTTTTCTTTTTTTTTAAACTTTCAGAGGAAAGGCTGCAAAGAATGCCAACTTCGAGGCACTTCCTGATAATTGGAGGGATCGACTGAAGAAAAGGAAGATGAACAGCACGTAACATGGGACCTGAACAACTTAAATAACGCCCCCCCAAAAAAAATGATATAATGTCATGTTATTGTTTCTTCCAAGCTTCATTTAGCTAAGTTGCTCAGTCGTTTATGAATATTTTTTGTATTCAAAATGAAGACTGAGATCAACCGCTGGGTTTGATTGTCCTTCCTCATTTTTTTAGGTACAAATGTAAATGTGCCACCTCTTCAGTTTGTAATGAACTTGGATAGAATGTATTCAGGTGGCCACAGCAATATATGTATGAGTGTCATCTGTTTTAATTAAACTTTTACACCAGTGTACATACCATGTATATTAGGACGAGCTGTGTTGGTGGTCTCTGAATGTGTAAAGTTTTTGTACATTTATTAAATTGTTTTTTCCAATGTGTGTCAAAGTTTGTACCTTTTTCCGCAACATGTGATAAAGTGACACATTAGATGCATTTGCTCAATCTAACAAGACAAAATACTAATGCAGTGCAAATTCTCTGTATTCAGTCTGTCCTAACTAAATGCTATTAAGTAATGCAGTTTAACTACTGCTTCCGCTGAAGAACACAGAAATTAATTTCTGAAAAAATGATATTGTGGCTCTTGTGGAGGTGATTTTCCTTTAACTCGGCCACCTTCAAAATGATGTGTTCATTTATAGAGATCTCGATTAAAATTGTGCGATTCCTTGAGTTTTGGTCTCTTAGCTGTAAATATTCTCAGATGAGATTACTGTGTGTTTATATGAAAGCACTTGGATTGTGTTCAGTTAAAGTCCAATCGTTTAAACAACTGATTGTAAAATCATAGTTGCAACCCTAATGTAAATCAGGAGTCACCAACATGGTCCCTGAGTGTACAACGTAGCCCCAATGACAATCCGTCGTATCTAATCTAAAATTTACTAACCAGATATAGGACATTTTTGGTTTCCTAGAAAACGGCCATTTTAGCTTGCGAAAATGAGTGCAGCGTGTCCTTTTAAGTTAAGTCAGCTTTTATTGTCAAATATGCTCTATGTGTAACATACAGCACAGATGTAATTACTTTCCTCTCAACTACAGTGCAAACATGTAGTGCATTGAACACACACAGCTAAAATTTACATAAAATTACATAAGGCATAAATATATACGTGTTCAATAAAATAAATAATGTATAATAATAAATAATACAAAAAATAAAGTGTCTCATAGAGCAGGGGTGTCAAACTCATTTCACATTGTGGGCCACATACGGACTCGGTAGATGTCAAGTGGGCCGAACCATTAACATTATACCATACTGTGCTATGAATCACCAAAATATCATCTCTTTCCTTTGTTTTGGTCTCAAGAAACATTGATTGGCGCTTTCATATCATTTGCTACGTTGGGTCTATCTCAGTGACAGACTGAGACTGCTGTTTTCTTCCCCAATCAAAACAATGTTGTCTTCTACTGCAGTGTTTTTCAACCCCTGTGCCGCGGCACACCAGTGTGCCGCAAGACATTGTCAGGTGTGCCGCGGGAAAATATTCAATTTGTATGCCTGTGCAGTCTATCGCCCAGAAATTAATCGTGTAGTACCCTCCCATACCGCTAGGGAGCAGCAACAGCTAGCCAATTGCCTTGTGTTTAGACGAGAGACAAGCAAATTTGTGATGCATGAATGCAGGACGACGGTGAAACAATAAATATGAAAGATGTGAAAATACTTTTTTCTTCGTGTTCATTTGATTCCAATTCAAGCTGTTATAATGTCATTCTTCAATGCTAAAAACGTTTATAGTAACAATATAACACATTAATTATTCAAATAAGCGTTTTTTTTTCCACCTTTTCAGCTAGAAGTGGGCCCTGGCTCAAAAAAGTTTGAAAAACACTGTTCTACTGTGATCAAAACAGTGTGCCCCCTAGCGGATAATCCACGAATTGCATTTTATTTAAAATATTCATTCTGTGTCTTTAATGCATTTTTTTTTTTACTTTTAAATGATCCCGCGGGCCGGATCGAACCTCCTTGGGGGCCGGTTCCGGCCCGCGGGTCGTATGTTTGACACCACTGTCGTAGAGTAAGATTAATTGAATCATTTACCCACCATTTAGACTACTACAGTCGCATGCACAAATGTTAATTTAACTTAAAACGAACTACTATTCTATGAATGGGACCCAAGCGCTTTTGTCGAATTTGTAGGTTCCCTAACAAAAAGAGGTGGCAGTGTCACAGAGCTTGTTTGGCCTATCGGTTGGTTGCTTGGTAACCTCTTGTTGCTCGATGATTGTTTGGGGGGGATTTCTCTTGAGCCGCTGGGACCGAAAAGCACCGTTAAGCGAGGTAAGTCGTCATGAGTCAAAAATGTGATTAAATACTAAATTGGCAGCCGCAACTAATGGGCAAAAAAGCACATTCATCTCTCTAAAATCTTTATTTTCGAATGGTAAAACCAATGAGTGATTATCGGCTGCTTCTTTTGGTCATATTTGTGTTACATATTCATTTATAATGATTCTATATATCTAAATTTACAGTCAGAACGTCGAAGATGCCTGAAAGGGATCCTACCGTCACTTTACGTGTGAGTTCGTTGGCCGTTTTTCTACAATCACCTGCCGCGGTTTTGGGTACACTTGCACACTGATTATAGTAGAGCTGGATGAACTATTCTGATTTTAAACTATATAATTGCGTGCAGTTCTGATAAACAGTGGAGGAGAGGAAATAATTCAATAATATGGTTATGATTGTGGTTGTAGTTGGCAGTGGTGTCGAGTTCTGCTCGTATGATGCAGGGGAAATGAACCTCTTCAATTCAAGCAGCACAGTGAATGACATCAGCCCAATCTGATTGGCCACTTCAGTAATTGCTTTGAAATATTTATATGTACAAAATATAAATAGTGTGACATCATTGCTGCATCATTCCCTCTGTCAGTCACAATGTATATTGTAAAAAAAACTACAGCTATTATTTTCTGTTCTTTAATTTTAAAAACACTGTTAATGTGACTGTTTTGTCAACAGTGTAAGTATTTTACATCTATTAATCTGAATGTTCTCCACTCAGAGACATAGGAACAGAAGAGAAAGAGGACAACAAAGATATGCTGTTACCAGGCTAAAAGCTGAAGAAAGAAATCACAACATATATTCATCCTCACTTACACAAATATGCCACCAAGGGGAAGTGAACATCATGGGGATGAGATCTGCCACAGAGTTTAGTAAGTGCAGCAGTGCCACAGTTGGCGCTTAACTGCTTTCTGTGAACACAACCTTAACATTATCTTGCATAAAAAGTCATTTTTAGACATGTCACTAGATATGCATTCTCACAATACCTGTGTGAGCATGCAATATCCATCCATCTGATGCGCTTATCCTCGCAAGGATCGCGGACGTACTGGAGCCTATCCCAGCTGTTTTCGGGCAGTAAGCACCCACAATCATTTGCGCTCACAATCACACCTACGGACAATTTAGAGTGTTCAATCAAGTTACCCTGCATGTTTTTGGAATGTGGGAGGAAACCGCAGTAACTGGAGAAAACTCGCACAGGCACGGGGAAAACATGCAAACCCCACACAGGAAGGACAGCACTGGAATCAAACCCTGCACCTCTACACTGTGAGGCAGATGTGCTAACCAGTTAAACACCGTGCTGCCCAGCGTGAAACATTTTCGTTGCAATTCTATGTATCTTCAATATTTTATATCTATAATGTTTTAGCCTTTTCTCATGAACTTAAATACTACAACAAAACCTCACTAATGTGATGCAGGCCTGCAGTATAGTTCTGCACCACCCGAAACTAATGCCACAATTATAAACATATCAAGTAAATGCCTCTCTAAGCAGTTTATAACACCTGGTACTCAAAAGCATTCTTTTCTTTTTGCCATTTAGGCAGTGAAAACATCAGTCATGGCCCGCCCTGTGATCAGAAATTGGTGGACCACCTACCAGTTAGACAAATCTGACACCAATGACTCCAACAAAGAGGACGAAAAGGAGGATGTAGCAGAGAAGAAGCAGTGTAAGCTGTGTTTCCTCTGTGTTTACTGTCCTTGATGTAGAGATTTATTTAGATGATTTTCAGAGTTCCCTTGATCGGTTTAAACATTTCTAAGGTGGCCCTCAAGCTCAATGCTAGAGCATTATTTATTAAATAAATGTGTTCCTTTGTTGCTGATGTATACAGTCCCGCTCAGCTTAATCTGCAGTCAAATGAGCAAACTTGTTTTGTGAAGCTAAGGTAATGGACAGCATGAATGGCAAATGCATATCCCCATGCTCTACTTAAACAAGAAAGGAACAAGAATCAGCGCTTGGGTGGGGGAAAAAAATGATTTCTGTGCTTCCTTAGTATCGATTAGTCAGACACTGCGAACCAGGCAGCTGCGTGTAGAGTTTGATGGTGGACGCCCAGTTTTCAGTCTTCGAGCACCACTGGACCTGGTTCAGTTCCCATCTATCTCCTGCCCACGTTGGCCAGTAGAGTGTGAGGTCATCAGTAACGCAATTCATCACATAGGTAATGCGACAATTCTCATTGTGACATTTATGATTTCATACCCCGAAAAGTCCGTCAGAAATCTGATGATCGCCACTTTAATATTCACATGCACTGCCTTTCTGTATCATAGAGTGGGAGCCTCCAAAACCTGAACCTTTCTACCATGCAAGTGGCCATGAGAAGACACCCTTTCCACCCGGGGAGGAGAGCAGACAAGTTGTCTATTGCATTGATGAGGGTAAATTTATAAGTCAACATTATTGTTCAGCAGGGGTCAGCAGCACGTGGTGCTCGTGGGCACCAGGTAGCCGCCAAGTGCTGCATGAATAGCCCACAAGTCTGTTCTAAAAGTTGTTTACTAGTGATGGGACATGAATGATTTTTCTCGGAATGTTTTAGAAATTGTCATTTGATAATATAAACACTGGCAGAGATTTACAGTATAAAAATAAAGTATTGCACATTGATATTTATCTGTTTCCTAATTGTTAAAAAAAAAACTAACATGATCAGTCACTTACATGAGTATTATGTACATCTTCATAAAGGACATAATGCTTTTAACAACATGTTTCGAGATATTAATCAATCATGTGAGGCTATTCTCATAATTTGTAAGTACAATGTATGGAGATAAATAAGCCCAATAAAATACTAAAAGCAGATCTCTGTATTTAATAAATCTCAACATCAAACATTGTTCAGATAATACCTCAGTCAAAATGACTAAAATATTTTAAAGCCAGGGTCTTTCGATGCACCTGCATTGTTGTTAATTGGGCAGATGTGCCCAATGAAGTGTCTGATGTGTGTCGATGTAGACCAGAAACATATTAAATGAATGTGGGGTTTCATTCTGTCATCTTGCTCATTACTAATTTGGACAAAAACAAGTT